CGTTACTATTAAGTATTTCTTCCACATCCTGCATCTGTTCGCAATGGTCTTCCAGCTACTCAAAACAACAAAAAGAAAAATTACTAAAAATGGCGCAGATGTTTGATGTCTCGCGCAACTAATATGACCAAGAAATAAAGGATGAGTAAGGCTTATCAAATCGTTAATTTGAAGCAGAATCGCTCGGAATAAAACACTGTAAATGGTGATTAAAGCTCAAACAGGCCACAGAAGTCTATGCAAATGTAAGTTGACTACGTTAGACGCAAATACGAAGTGCGAACCTTTCTTTGATTGGCAATAGCCATGACCTGCATGGAATACTTGTTCCAGATTAGCTGACTGAAATTTTTCACTTTTGTTCCTAGCATTTTCATTTGCTTCGGATCACGGCTTGCCAATATTGCCATTGCTGTAGCGCTGTCATTAAAAAGTCCTAAAATAAATAACAAATCGGTGAGATGTCCTATAAAAGATTTCGCTTTATGCTCGCTCTTAAACTTGCGGAGTGGCACATGAGCAAGAAAAGTACTCTTAAAATTGGACCTTTCTAGCTTTCCTCGCTGCTCAGCTGAAAAAAATTTCGAACATAATGCATATAGCAAGGCAAAATCTCAGAAAAACGGTTTTGAGGCAATCAGAACAAAAAATGAGTATCTTCTGCTGCCGTACAATATCACAACTTTATAAAGCGGACGAAAGGAGCAGAACATGGAACGGAAAACTGCACTTACTCGCTTTCCAATACATATAATACTGCTCAGTGCATATGAAATCCATGCCATCGATGGAAAGACGATTGCACAGATAATGGTTACTGAAGACATATTTGTCAGTGAAGAAAAGCGTCACCAGTCCGTTACACGGCGTTCTTCGCACAGGCGCCACCAGCGGCTGCAATACAGCAAATATGAATCACTTCTTTGGTGCTGCGTGATGTGGATTTACATCTTTTGTTGATCCGCTAACCAAGTCAAAGTCAAATCTCTTTCCTTACTCAATGGCAGCTCAAACGACGACACTTGTCAAAGCAACCACTAACTGGCAAGGCTGTTGATGGCTTACCCTTCTAGGGATTGCTCAGAACATAGCGAGTTTTGTTCAATGGCATGAGCCAATACCAATTTTACCATCGAAACGAATGAATGAAGAGCAGAGGAACTGACTGAGCTACTGGCAGAATCGGACCTTCGACCTTCACCACTACAGCAAGGCTACCTGCCACTGAGTCATGCACGGTCTGCGAATAACTATTTGTAACTCCTCTTTTACTATAAAATTAGTCGTTGATAACACTTATTTCAACAAATATTTTCCACCAACATTTCTTCATACTTATGCATACAAAAGCTGCCGGGCATAGCACAATGGAAAGTAGCGCCAATATGGTGCGAGCGGTCAAGAATTCGACTGGGACAACCAATCCCGCCATGATTCGTCCACTTTTTTCGATGCTACACTGAACAACACCGGTATGTCTTAAATTTCGGCAAGAGCAAAGATCGGAAACCGGCTGATTCCCGAACTTTATGCAGCCACTCATTCCAGATGGCAGAACTGGAGCGACTTGAAGTAGCGTGTGCCGAAAGGGATGAATTTTTATGATACTGATTTTCGTGCCACAAAGAACTGGTCATACGCTGGGGAAAAACAATCACCCTGCTTCTACGCAATTCTCGAAAGACAGAATCAACGTCCTTGCCAACGGGGCTTTTGATACGTGCTACCACTCAAGCTACTTCCGAGTGCCTCCACCTCTAAAGAGAGCAAATCCCGGAGGAGTTTTATACAGCTATATGAGGGAAAAGCTGCAGACTGAGTTGACTATTTAAGGCTAAGAATTGCTGCAGTGTAGTTGAAGTCCATTAGTTCCTACATTTCTGCCATCAGGGTATTTGATACCCTCAACACGACCAACTACTAAAACACACCCTGTTGTTTAGTGAACCATTATAAAACAGCGAAGGCGGGCTTGTTGTTAAAGAACTGAAGTGCCACAGAAGCGGAATGAAAATTCTCCGAAATAAACGAAAAAGCGAGGACGTAAGGTGATCGCAGTGGTAGTTATTAGCAAGCTAAACACCAAGTGGTGCAGCTTTGCTCACTGTAACTACTGAAAAACACTGTGAACTTTCTGGATGGCATAAGATTAAAAGGCAGTTGAATGCGGTAAATGAAGCGCTATTCTTGTCGAAATTTTTCCTGGATTTCAAGAATTTGCTGGCGTACACAC